TTTTTGCTTTTCAACAATTTCAATAGGTTATGCTCTTCATGATCAAATTACTGTTTGAATGCTCATACAACGATATTTTTCGAAGATCTTTTTCACAGAAGGAAATTCTTTGCAAGAGTCCAACTTGCGTACTTTAGGCCTATCAATAACAAAATCAAACAAAGGGACATAACTCGTATATGAAGGAGGCATTCGGAAATACTCAGAAATATTGGGTCACTTGTATACGAAAATGACAGAGTTTGTTCCGAATGAGAATCGGTTACCAAGGAAGTAGATCCTATTGTCAACAAAGAGTTACGGAGCGCGAAAGTGTGCGGACGGTGTAGAGGAGCAGAGATAGAAAAAGCAAAATACACAAGGAAGAAAGCACTTAGACAGGTTTGGTTCATACACACTTGTTCAGTGTTGGGGCAAACTTCATTTATAAATGTATTTTATTTTCCGAAATCACAATACAAACCCTTAACTTGTTATTATTCATTGGTTATCAACAACACCCATAGAGAGAGATGCATGATACATGAGCAGTTGAGCTATGCTAATCGGGCATAAAATATTTTCACGCACAATAAGGGAAGATAAGTAAATCAACATGCAGATTTACCACGTATCAGGTTCGACAAAACTATATGTAAAGAAATGGGAACATTCATTGAACAAAATGTTGAACTTTCAGTTTCCGCAACTCTATCATTTGAACCTGCGTGCATTTTTCAAGGCAAAGATATTGAATATTTATCAGTTGCTTGTATAACTTTGCTAGTAATTGATTATCATTATTTGATATTTGACGTTTGAGACATTATTTGATGTTTGAGACGCGAATTTAAAATATATCTTAAGATTCCGGAGTTTTACACAGTATCCGCTCCGAACGTTACTCGTGGAAATAACCCGGATGCTGTTACCATGACTTCCATCGAGTTGTAGGCCTCGAAGGATTTGGATGCATGGAAAGAAGGAGATGTTACAAAACAGAAATGTAAAAGAGAACAACAGGTTTGGGGATCTTTATGCGTTCGATGTCATTGTTTGTATTTTATATTTAATTTTTACACAAAATAAAAATGGAAATAATCAAAATATCATTAATAATTTTATGCATTGTCATGAAATAAACACAAATGCCCGAACTTCCTCACTTCAAGCGAAAAAAACCATACCACGTTATTCTCTAGCATAATTATTTGATCTGTTTTTCGTTTTTAACACACATACATGATACCATTAGCTGAATTTGAATTTTTTAAATTATTTTTTCGTATGAGAAACAAGGAAATTATTTGGGTAAACTGCTAGAACGACATTTCAAAATGTTCAGATACTGTAGATCACTAAATTTTCGCGACACCATATTTTCGCGAGAGAGTCGTAATTTTTATTATAAGCGAGACATAATTTTCACGAATTATTAATATTTCTCTGTATAATCTTTAGGAATACTATTATACGCGAGAATGAAATTTTCGCGTGCTCACTGTCTCGCGTAATTACGTGAAAATAAAGTTCTCGCGAATTAAAAGTGATTTACAGTAGTCCATGGACCACGAAGCAAGGTGTGTGCATTGTAACAAATTGTTGATGCATTCAAGTCACATTCTGCAATAGGTAGTGCTTGTATGTGGTATACCAGTTACTAATGTCCCTGGTTTTGTCTACGCTATAGACCAACCCAGTGGTTTAAAGAACTGATTTGAGCCACTCACTCATAAAACTTCAGACTGTGACTTGTACTCAATCTTGGCTGTGATAGAAGCCAAGAAACAACACCGACTGAAGTATACCTGACAGAAGTATCCATATAGAAGATGGTGAGTTTATTTTATTGTCTTAATGTCTTGTATTTTCAGGTGAATACGATGGGCATGGCCCCCTAAGAGAGGCGTGTACATTGTTGATGTACTCAAGTCACAGTCTGCAATAGGTAGTGCTTGTATGTGGTATACCAGTTGCTAATGTTCCTGGTTTTGTCTATGCTATAGACAAACCCAGTGGATTAAAGAACTGATTTGAGCCACTCACTCATAAAAGTTCAGACTGTGACTTGTACTCAATCTTGGCTGTGATAGAAGCCAAGAAAATACCAAGATTGAAGTATACTTGCCAGCAATACCCATATGGAGAAGGTAAGTTTATTTTATTGTCGTATTATTAGTGATGTATGTGCATTTTTGATGCACTCAAGTCACAGTCTGCAATAGGTAGTGCTTGTATGTGGTATACCAGTCGCTAATGTCCCTGGTTTTGTCTATGCTATAGACAAACCCAATGGATTAAAGAACTGATTTGAGCCACTCACTCATAAAAGTTCAGACTGTGACTTGTACTCAATCTTGGCTGTGATAGAAGCCAAGAAACAACACCGATTGAAGTAGACGTGCCAGCAGTACCCATATGGAGAAGGTAAGTTTATTTTATTGTCTGATTATTAGTGATGTGTGTGCATTGTTGATGCACTCAAGTCACAGTCTGCAATAGGTAGTGCTTGTATGTGGTATACCAGTTGCTAATGTCCCTGGTTTTGTCTATGCTATAGACAAACCCAGTGGATTAAAGAACTGATTTGAGCCACTCACTCATAAAACTTCAGACTGTGACTTGTACTCAATCTTGGCTGTGATAGAAGCCAAGAAACAACACCGACTGAAGTATACCTGACAGCAGTATCCATATAGAAGATGATGAGTTTATTTTATTGTTTTAATGTCTTGTATTTTCAGGTGAATACGATGGGCATGGCCCCCTAAGAGAGGCACTCAAGTCACAGTCGCAATAGGTAGTGATTGTGGTATACCAGTCGCTAATGTCCCTGGTTTTGTCTATGCTACAGACAAACCCAATGGATTAAAGAACTGATTTGAGCCACTCACTCATTAAAGTTCAGACTGTGACTTGTACTCAATCTTGGCTGTGATAGAAGCCAAGAAAATACCAAGATTGAAGTATACTTGCCAGCAGTACCCAGATTGAGAAGGTAAGTTTATTTTATTGTCTGATTGTTAGTGATGTGTGTGCATTTTAGATGCACTCAAGTCACAGTCTGCAATAGGTAGTTCTTATATGTGGTATACCAGTTGCTAATGTCCCTGGCTTTGTCTGAGCTGAAGACAAACCCAGTGGTTTAAGTAACTGATTTGAGCCACTCACTCATAAAACTTCAGACTGTGATTTGTACTCAGTCTTGGCTGTGATAGAAGCCAAAAAACAACACCGATTGAAGTAGACGTGCCAGCAGTACCCATAAGGAAGAATGTAAGTTTATTTAATTGTCTTAATGTCTTGTATTTTCAGTTGACTATGACGAGCATGTCCCCCCAAGAGAGGCATGTGCATTTTTGATGCACTCAAGTCGCAGTCTGCAATAGGAAGTGATTGTGGTATACCAGTTGCTAATGTCCCTGGTTTTGTCTATGCTATAGACAAACCCAATGGATTAAAGAACTGATTTGAGCCACTCACTCATAAAAGTTCAGACTGTGACTTGTACTCAATCTTGGCTGTGATAGAAGCCAAGAAAATACCAAGATTGAAGTATACTTGCCAGCAGTACATGACTGGAAGATGGTAAGTTTATTTTGTTGTCTGATTATTAGTGATGTGTTTGCATTTTTGATGCACTCAAGTCACAGTCTGCAATAGGTAGTGCTTGTATGTGGTATACCAGTTGCTAATGTCCCTGGTTTTGTCTAAGCTATAGACAAACCCAGTGGATTAAAGAACTGATTTGAGCCACTCACTCATAAAACTTCAGACTGTGACTTGTACTCAATCTTGGCTGTGATAGAAGGCAAGAAAATACCAAGATTGAAGTATACTTGCCAGTAGTACCCATATAGAGAAGGTAAGTTTAATTTATTGTCTGATTATTAGTAACCTGTGTGCATTGTTGATGCACTCAAGTCACAGTCTGCAATAGGTAGTGCTTGTATGTGGTACATGACTGGAAGATGGTAAGTTTATTTTGTTGTCTGATTATGAGTGATGTGTTTGCATTTTTGATGCACTCAAGTCACAGTCTGCAATAGGTAGTGCTTGTATGTGGTATACCAGTTGCTAATGTCCCTGGTTTTGTCTAAGCTATAGACAAACCCAGTGGATTAAAGAACTGATTTGAGCCACTCACTCATAAAACTTCAGACTGTGACTTGTACTCAATCTTGGCTGTGATAGAAGCCAAGAAAATACCAAGATTGAAGTATACTTGCCAGTAGTACCCATATAGAGAAGGTAAGTTTAATTTATTGTCTGATTATTAGTAATCTGTGTGCATTGTTGATGCACTCAAGTCACAGTCTGCAATAGGTAGTGCTTGTATGTGGTATACCAGTTGCTAATGTCCCTGGTTTTGTCTAAGCTAAAGACAAACCCAGTGGATTAAAGAACTGATTTTAGCCACTCACTCATAAATCTTCAGACTGTGACTTGTACTCAATCTTGGCTGTGATAGAAGGCAAGAAAGTACCAAGATTGAAGTATACTTGCCAGCAGTACCCATATAGACAAGGTAAGTTTAATTTATTGTCTGAGTATTAGTAATCTGTGTGCATTGTTGATGCACTCAAGTCACAGTCTTCAATAGGTAGTTCTTATATGTGGTATACCAGTTGCTAATGTCCCTGGTTTTGTCTAAGCTATAGACAAACCCAGTGGATTAAAGAACTGATTTGAGCCACTCACTCATAAAACTTCAGACTGTGACTTGTACTCAATATAGGCTATGATGGAAGCCAAGAAAATACCAAGATTGAAGTATACTTGCCAGCAGTACCCATATAGACAAGGTAAGTTTAATTTATTGTCTGAGTATTAGTAATCTGTGTGCATTGTTGATGCACTCAAGTCACAGTCTTCAATAGGTAGTTCTTATATGTGGTATACCAGTTGCTAATGTCCCTGGTTTTGTCTAAGCTATAGACAAACCCAGTGGATTAAAGAACTGATTTGAGCCACTCACTCATAAAACTTCAGACTGTGACTTGTACTCAATATAGGCTATGATGGAAGCCAAGAAAATACCAAGATTGAAGTATTCTTGCCAGCAGTACCCATATAGAGAAGGTAAGTTTATTTTATTGTCTGAATATTAGTGATGAGTGTTCATTGTTGATGCACTCAAGTCACAGTCTTCAATAGGTAGTGATTGTATGTGGTATACCAGTTGCTAATGTCCCTGGTTTTGTCTAAGCTAAAGACAAACCCAGTGGATTAAAGAACTGATTTTAGCCACTCACTCATAAAACTTCAGACTGTGACTTGTACTCAATCTTGGCTGTGATAGAAGGCAAGAAAATACCAAGATTGAAGTATTCTTGCCAGCAGTACCCATATAGAGAAGGTAAGTTTAATTTATTGTCTGAGTATTAGTAATCTGTGTGCATTGTTGATGCACTCAAGTCACAGTCTTCAATAGGTAGTTCTTATATGTGGTATACCAGTTGCTAATGTCCCTGGTTTTGTCTAAGCTATAGACAAACCCAGTGGATTAAAGAACTGATTTGAGCCACTCACTCATAAAACTTCAGACTGTGACTTGTACTCAATATTGGCTATGATGGAAGCCAAGAAAATACCAAGATTGAAGTATTCTTGCCAGCAGTACCCAGATTGAGAAGGTAAGTTTATTTTATTGTCTGAATATTAGTGATGAGTGTTCATTGTTGATGCACTCAAGTCACAGTCTGCAATAGGTAGTGCTTGTATGTGGTATACCAGTTGCTAATGTCCCTGGTTTTGTCTAAGCTATAGGCAAACCCAGTGGATTAAAGAACTGATTTGAGCCACTCACTCAAAAAACTTCAGAATGTGACTTGTACTCAATCTTGGCTGTGATAGAAGCCAAGAAACAACACCGATTGAAGTAGAAGTACCAGCAGTACCCATAAGGAAGAATGTAAGTTTATTTAATTGTCTTAATGTCTTGTATTTTCAGTTGACTATGATGAGCATGTCCCCCAAGAGAGGCATGTGCATTGTTGATGCACTCAAGTCACAATCTGCATTAGGTAGTGCTTGTATGTGGTATACCAGTTGCTGATGTCCCTGGTTTTGTCTAAGCTATAGACAAACCCAGTGGATTAAAGAACTGATTTGAGCCACTCACTCATAAAAGTTCAGACTGTGACTTGTACTCAATCTTGGCTGTGATAGAAGCCAGGAAACAACACCGATTGTAGTAGACGTACAAGCAGTACCCATAAGGAAGAAGGTAAGTTTATTTAATTGTCTTAATGTCTTGTATTTTCAGTTGACTATGATGAGCATGTCCCCCCTCAAGAGAGGCATGTGCTGCTTTGCTGATGCACTCAAGTCACAGTCTGCAATAGGTAGTGCTTGTATGTGGTATACCAGTTGCTAATGTCCCTGGTTTTGTCTATGCTATAGACAAACCCAATGGATTAACGAACTGATTTGAGCCACTCACTCATAAAAGTTCAGACTGTGACTTGTACTGAATCCTGGCTGTGATAGAAGCCAAGAAAATACCAAGATTGAAGTATACTTGCCAGCAGTACATGACTGGAAGATGGTAAGTTTATTTTGTTGTCTGATTATTAGTGATGTGTTTGCATTTTTGATGCACTCAAGTCACAGTCTGCAATAGGTAGTGCTTGTATGTGGTATACCAGTTGCTAATGTCCCTGGTTTTGTCTAAGCTATAGACAAACCCAGTGGATTAAAGAACTGATTTGAGCCACTCACTCATAAAAGTTCAGACTGTGACTTCCACTCAATATTGGCTATGATGGAAGCCAAGAAAATACCAAGATTGAAGTATTCTTGCCAGCTGTACCCATATAGAGAAGGTAAGTTTATTTTATTGTCTGAATATTAGTGATGAGTGTTCATTGTTGATGCACTCAAGTCACAGTCTGCAATAGGTAGTGCTTGTATGTGGTATAGCAGTTGCTAATGTCCCTGGTTTTGTCTAAGCTAAAGACAAACCCAGTGGATTAAAGAACTGATTTGAGACACTCACTCATAAAACTTCAGACAGTGACTTGTACTCAATCTTGGCTGTGATAGATGCCAAGAAAATACCAAGATTGAAGTATTCATGCCAGGAGTACATGACTGGAAGATACCAGGTAAACTTTGTTTATTGTGTGATTATTAGTAACGTGTGTGCATTGTTGATGCACTCAAGTCACAATCTGCATTAGGTAGTGCTTCTATGTGGTATAGCATGTGCATTGTTGATGCACTCAAGTCACAATCTGCATTAGGTAGTGCTTGTATATGGTATACCAGTTGCTAATGTCCCTGGTTTTGTCTAAGCTATAGACAAACCCAGTAGATTAAAGAACTGATTTGAGCCACTCACTCATAAAAGTTCAGACTGTGACTTGTACTCAGTCTTGGCTGTGATAGAAGCCAAGAAACAACACCGATTGAAGTAGACGTACCAGCAGTACCCATAAGGAAGAAGGTAAGTTTATTTAATTGTCTTAATGTCTTGTATTCTCAGTTGACTATGATGAGCATGTCCCCCCCCCAAGAGAGGCATGTACTGCTTTGTTGATGCATTCAAGTCACAGTCTGCAATAGGTAGTGCTTGTATGTGGTATACCAGTTGCTAATGTCCCTGGTTTTGTTCATGCTATAGACAAACCCTGTGGATTAAAGAACTGATTTGAGCCACTCACTCATAAATGTTCAGACTGTGACTTGTACTCAATCTTGGCTGTGATAGAAGCCAAGAAAATACCAAGACTGAAGTATACTTGCCAGCAATACAAACATGGAGAAGGTATGTTTATTTTATTTTCTCATTATTAGTTATGTGTTTGCATTTTTGATGCACTCAAGTCACAGTCTGCAATAGGTAGTCCTTGTATGTGGTATACCAGTTGCTAATGTCCCTGGTTTTGTCTATGCTATAGACAAACCCAGTGGATTAAAGAACTGATTTGAGCCACTCACTCATAAAACTTCAGACTGTGACTTGTACTCAATCTTGGCTATGATGGAAGCCAAGAAAATACCAAGATTGAAGTATTCTTGCCAGCAGTACCCATATAGAGAAGGTAAGTTTATTTTATTGTCTGAATATTAGTGATGAGTGTTCATTGTTGATGCACTCAAGTCACAGTCTGCAATAGGTAGTGCTTGTATGTGGTATACCAGTTGCTAATGTCCCTGGTTTTGTCTAAGCTATAGACAAACCCAGTAGATTAAAGAACTGATTTGAGCCACTCACTCATAAAACTGCAGACTGTGACTTGTACTCAATCTTGGCTGTGATAGAAGCCGAGAAACAACACCGATTGAAGTAGACGTACCAGCAGTACCCATAAGGAAGAATGTAAGTTTATTTAATTGTTTTAATGTCTTGTATTTTCAGTTGACTATGATGAGCATGCCCCCTCAAGAGAGGCATTCAAGTCACAGTCGCAATAGGTAGTGATTGTGGTATACCAGTTGCTAATGTCCCTGGTTTTGTCTATGCTACAGACAAACCCAATGGATTAAAAAACTGATTTGAGCCACTCACTCATTAAAGTTCAGACTGTGACTTGTACTGAATCTTGGCTGTGATAGAGGCCAAGAAAATACCAAGATTGAAGTATACTTGCCAGCAGTACCCAGATTGAGAAGGCAAGTTTATTTTATTGTCTGATTATTAGTGATGTGTGTGCATTTTAGATGCACTCAAGTCACAGTCTGCAATAGGTAGTGCTTATATGTGGTATACCAGTTGCTAATGTCCCTGGTTTTGTCTAAGCTGAAGACAAACCCAGTGGTTTAAATAACTGATTTGAGCCACTCACTCATAAAACTTCAGACTGTGATTTGTACTCAGTCTTGGCTGTGATAGAAGCCAAAAAACAACACCGATTGAAGTAGACGTGCCAGCAGTACCCAAAAGGAAGAATGTAAGTTTATTTAATTGTCTTAATGTCTTGTATTTTCAGTTGACTATGATGAGCATGTCCCCCCAAGAGAGGCATGTGCATTTTTGATGCACTCAAGTCACAGTCTGCAATAGGTAGTGATTGTGGTATACCAGTTGCTAATGTCCCTGGTTTTGTCTAAGCTATAGACAAACCCAGTGGATTAAAGAACTGATTTGAGCCACTCACTCATAAAACTTCAGACTGTGACTTGTACTCAATATTGTCTATGATGGAAGCCAAGAAAATACCAAGATTGAAGTATTCTTGCCAGCAGTACCCATATAGAGAAGGTAAGTTTATTTTATTGTCTGAATATTAGTGATGAGTGTTCATTGTTGATGCACTCAAGTCACAGTCTGCAATAGGTAGTGCTTGTATGTGGTATACCAGTTGCTAATGTCCCTGGTTTTGTCTAAGCTATAGACAAACCCAGTGGATTAAAGAACTGATTTGAGCCACGCACTCATAAAAGTTCAGACTGTGACTTGTACTCAATCTTGGCTGTGATAGAAGCCAAGAAACAAAACCGATTGAAGTATACTTGCCAGCAGTACCCATATAGAGAAGGCAAGTTTTATTTATTGTCTGATTATTAGTAATCTGTGTGCATTGTTGATGCACTCAAGTCACAGTCTTCATTAGGTGGTTCTTATATGTGGTATACCAGTTGCTAATGTCCCTGGTTTTGTCTAAGCTATAGGCAAACCCAGTGGATTAAAGAACTGATTTGAGCCACTCACTCATAAAACTTCAGACTGTGACTTGTACTCAATATTGGCTATGATGGAAGCCAAGAAAATACCAAGATTGAAGTATTCTTGCCAGCAGTACCCATATAGAGAAGGTAAGTTTATTTTATTGTCTGAATATTAGTGATGAGTGTTCATTGTTGATGCACTCAAGTCACAGTCTGCAATAGGTAGTGCTTGTATGTGGTATACCAGTTGCTAATGTCCCTGGTTTTGTCTAAGCTAAAGACAAACCCAGTGGATTAAAGAACTGATTTGAGCCACTCACTCATAAAAGTTCAGACTGTGACTTGTACTCAATCTTGGCTGTGATAGATGCCAAGAAAATACCAAGATTGAAGTATTCATGCCAGGAGTACATGACTGGAAGATGCCAGGTAAACTTTGTTTATTGTGTGATTATTAGTAAGGTGTGAGCATTGTTGATGCACTCAAGTCACAGTCTGTAATAGGTAGTGCTTGTATGTGGTATACCGGTTGCTAATGTCCCTGGTTTTGTCTTTGCTATATAGACAAACCCAGTGGATTAAAGAACTGATTTGAGCCACTCACTCATAAAACTTCAGACTGTGACTTGTACTCAATCTTGGCTGTGATAGAAGCCAAGAAACAACACTGACTGAAGTATACCTGGCAGCAGTACACGACTGGAAGATGGCAAGTTTAATTTCTTGTCTGTTTATTAGTGATGTGTGTGTATTGTTGATGCACTCAAGTCACAGTCTGCAATAGGTAGTGCTTGTATGTGGTATACCAGTTGATAATGTCCCTGGTTTTGTCTATTTTCTAGAGAAACCCAGTGGATTAAAGAACTGATTTGAGCCACTCACTCATAAAACTTTAGACTGTGTTTTCAATCTTGACTGTGATAGAAACCAAGAAAATACCAAGATTAAAGTTTATTTGCCAGCAGTGCCAATTTGAAAAATTGTAAGTTTATTTTATTGTCTTAATGTCTGGTATTTTCGGTTGAATATGATGAGCAATGCCACCAAGAGAGGCATGTGCATTGTTGATGCACTCAAGTCTAAGTCTGCAATAGGTAGTGCTTGTATGTGGTATACCAGTTGCTAATGTCCCTGGTTTTGTCTATGCTATAAACAAACCCAGTGTATTAAAGAACTGATTTGAGCTACTCACTCATTACACTTCAGACTGTGACTTGTACTCAATCTCTGATGTGATAGTAGCCAAGAAACAACACCGATTGAAGTATACTTGCTAGCAGTAAACAATTGAAAGATGGTAAGTCTGTTTTTGTCTATCAGATGATAACGTCAAGATGAGATAAACAGGTAAACTTTTTAGATATTGGGTAACTCAAATTTCTTTTATTAGTCTTGATTTGTACTTTTTTTAAAGAGCATCAGATATTTTAGTGTAATTTGTATATTTAAAATATTTTTGCATATGGTAAAGTTAGTATTAGTAAAGAAGAATTTTTTCATCAGATTTAAGCACAAGTAGTATAGTTCGGTTAAGGTAACGCTTATATATATGATGTTCCACCTTCATATATATTCTTAGGTAAAGAACAACCAGAAAAGGTGTCAGTTATTGTATTATAGCATTAAAATATCCACATATTGATACTTCTCCTCTGCAACTTCATCTTGCAATTTCATTTTCTAGAGCTGTAAAAATCCATCTGATTATGTTTTTGTTATACAAGAAGTGTGTATTCGTTTCTTGACTCTGATTCGAGATTCTTAGGTTGGTTTCAATCTTTCAGCTATTTTTACTTTGATATAACTTCTGTTTTTATGCCCCTGTAAACGAAGTTACGAAGGTATATAGTTTTTGTCGTGCCCGTCCGTCTGTCTGTCTAGCTGTCTCTCTGTCTGTCTGTCTCTCTGTCTTTTGACCTTGACCTTGGAGTTTGACCCACTTTTACATGAAAATTTCAAACTTTTACTTTGGCCATATCTTTTGAACAGTAGATACCAGAACATTTATACTTCGCATATGTATTATTTGTTGAAAGACCTTTCATTGGATACCAAAAACCTTGACTGTTTGATCTTGACCTTGTAGACTTTTGTACCCGTGTAAAAACTTTAACCTTGGCCATAACTTTTGAACGGTTAGAAATAGGGCTTTCATACTTCATATGTGTAATCCTTGTGAGAAGACCCTTCATTGGATACCATGCACTTTGACCCTTTGACCTTGACCTTTGAGTTTGACCTACTGTAAAAAACAAACCTTGACAATAACTTTTAAAGGGTTAGGGCTAGTGCTTTCATACTTTACATACTTAATTCTTGTGACAAGACCTTTCATTTGATAATGAAAACTTTGACCTTGACCTTGGAGTTTGACTTACTCTTAAAAACATTAACCTTGGCCATAACTTCTGAACGGTTAGGACTAGGGCTTCCATACTCTACATAAGTATTCTATGTGGCAAGACCTTTCATTGGATACCAATTATCTTGACCTTTTGACCTTGACCTTGGAGATTTTTCTACTTATTGAAAAAGTTGAACATTGGCCTACTTTCAAATATCACAATTGTTTTCCGGTGAGAATACCCAACTTTTGGTACCAATTAATTAAAGCAGTTAAGAAAAGTTTAATCTTTGCTATGTTGTCATACGGGGGCATCAGTGTTTCACAAACACATTTTGTGTGTTTTTTTTTTTTTTTAGATTTTAGGTTTAACGTATATGTGTAGACCACCAGTTGGTTGGCCTTTTTTTTAATTTATTTTGAGTTGAGCACAAAAGATGGAGAAGACCACAGGCACTTGTTTCTGAAATAGATTTTTAATCCAAAGTATAATAATAAAATTATTATACGATGGTTTAAAAAATTATTTCCGAAACAAGTGCCGATGGAGAAAACCATGAAAGATTTCTTTAGGAGTCTTTCAACATTTTTTCTACTCAATTTTCAATACAAACTACTGAAAAATCATGACCGTCATGTTTTGAGTGGTTGGAGCTAGGACTTCAACTTAACATACCTGGTATAACAGTATATGTACAGTGTATTTTCTATTTTGTGCCAAAACCTCCTGTCTGTCAATAGACTTGACCTTGAAGTGTGAAAATATTTTGAAAAATTTTATTCTTGTCCATCATTGCTGAATGGTTACAGTTAAAGCTTTCGTATTACCCAGATATATAATATACCTTGTGGAAGGTCCTTCCCTTTGGTACTCCAACAGTTAACATACTTAAGAGTTGTTAATCATAGTTTCACAATTCGTGAAACTATATTTATCAGATCGTTAACTATAGTTTAGAGTTGTAAACCATAGTTTACAAATCGTGAAACTGTATTTATCAGATAACAATTAAGCGCTTTCTGTATGTCGATATTTTTAGCCAATAACAAAGTTTCGATCCATTGGACTTTGTAGAGATACTTTTGCATATTGTATACGCAAACCTTTACTGATTCAAAATCAATATTGAACAAAACGAATTTTAATTATTTCATATCTATTCTGGTTTTGGGTTGCTTTAAGCATGCAGACAAATCCCGTAAACACATGCTTTTCCGTATTTCGTTGTTTTGTTTTTTCATCATTATTAAGGAGAAATTATGACACCATCGATTACATTTACTAACCGATCTTTCTCATTAAAATAAAATGAAAGGCACATATGCCACAACACTCAACTGAGTCGCTTTTTCCTTCCTGGGAAATGAATTTCTACGTGTATAAAGAAGCTGGTATTGTCATTATCATATTCAAGTCTATGAATTCAGCGGCTTGTGGTCAAATTACGAACTCTTATTTTTTATTTAGTTCTTCAAGATATACCGTAGATATTTCTGTATAAAAAATTCATCTCCATCTAAGAAGAGAACTGCTATGAACAAGCTTTTATCAACAGTATATGAATTTAACTGGTTCTCAAAAGAAGACTTAAAGGGTATATTTACCATTTTAATCTTATTATATAATTTTTTTGTTCTTGTCTCCGTTGTTTGTTGTTTGTTTTGAACGTATTTTATTGAACGAATCTCCGTTAACCAAGTACTATTGTATTCGAATGCATATATTTTAGGTTCTGTTCGTCTGTTTCTATGTGTGCATGTTTGTCGGCAAAAACATTAATTATCCATGGCCATTTCTTTTTTGATTGGTTGGAACTATGGGTTTGTCGGAATCTTAACTACATGTGAAAGAAATATCTTCTTATAAATCTTCTTCTAAAAATCAAATGGGGACAATATGGCTCGAGTGAGCATTGTGGCCAACGGGCCTCTTAATCTCATTTGAATAAAAATTAACTCTTCTTGAATAATGCTCATCTCTTCTATCTTCTGCATGATTACTCAGCTAAAGTGCGGGAAATTATGATAAATAGATATTCAAGTAGATTAGTATTATTAGATATGAAAGTGCACAATTAAGCTAATGCGTGATACTTAGAAAATGTAAGTAATAAATGACTGCAATAGAATATTCATGGTTTTTGTCTTAGAATTAGTTTTTCCATGCAGGGGAAAAGGCTGCAACAATCAACATTTTTGATAAACCAATGAAACAGACAATACGTACAATCACTTACAAAAAACATTTTAGTTCACCTGAGCTGAAAGCTCAAGTGAGCTTTTCTGATCACCCTATGTCCGTCGTCCGTCCGTCCATCTGTCTAGCTGTCCGTCCGTCTGTAAACTTTCACATTTTCAACTTCTTCTCAAGAACCACTAGGCCAGTTTCAACTAAACTTGGTAATGTGGCGGTCAGCCGGTTTCGATCGCCGGTGGCCAGATAGCTCAGTTGGTAGAGCACCTGACCGGAGTTTCAGGGGGCCCGGGTTCGAATCCCTGTCTGGTTCGCTGCATTTTCTCCTCTCCCGTTACATTTGGTGCTGTGCCATGCCCTGGAATTGACAGGTGAAAGACCTGCCAGGGATGAGCCTGGGTTGGGGTCTTTGGAACAAAGACCTTTAAGGAGGGAGGATTGTGGCGGTCAGCCGGGTTAGATCGCTGGTGGCCAGATAGCTCAGTTGGTAGAGCACCTGACCAGAGTTTCAGGGGGCCTGGGTTCGAATCCCGGTCTGGTCCGCTGCATTTTCTCCTCTCCCGTTACAGTACAAAGCATCGTTGGGTAAGGGGGGAATTTAAATTGTTAAAGTGAAGGGCTAATCCCTCTTCCAAGGGGAGATAATAAAAAAAAAGATGAAAATATGGTGGGATCATTTAAAAATCTTCTTCTCAAGAACCACTGAGCCAATGAAGCTGAAACTTATGCAGAAGCATCTTAGGGGTAGTAAAGATTCTAAATTATTCAAATCATGATCCCGGGAGTAGGGTGTGGCCACAATAGGGAATCCAAGTTTTACATTGAAATAAACAGGAAAAAAATCTTTAAAAGTCTTCTCAAGAACCATTGGACCAGGAAAGCTGAAACTTTTGTGGAAGCATCCTGTGTCAGTGTAGATTTAAAATTTTCAAATCATGATCCATGGGGGTAGAGCAAGGCCACAATAGTTATTACAAGGGGAGAAGCTGGTGAAGAACAGCATGACCAAAGTGACTCAGGTGAGCGTTGTGGCCCATGGGCCTCTTGTTTTCTCTATATTCTCATGTGATCCCCTATTGTGGCCCCATCCAAACACTGGATGTATAATTTATATGCATTTTTAAAAAAAAATTAGAATCTCCGTACGCTATAACTTAGAAGTGTTCTGGTCATGTGATTCCGGAAAAGATTTTTTGAATGATCCCATCTTATATATTTTCCTAAAATTCTTGAATTCCCTTGGAATTCATAGTTCCGACCTGTCAATCAAATCTTTTCTATCAGCCAATCAGATCGTTACGCATAATTAGGCGCAGTGACACTTCGATCGGCGGCCATGTTGTCCCACAAATAAACATGTGGGAAGTCTGTTAGGCACATCAAACTTTCGGGCGAAATGGTTCTGCGATGCGCTTGGGGGACATGTAATGTCGATGAGAGGTACCCGGAGAGGCTAAAGAATGGAGTAAAGTTGATTTTGTTCCCCAAACCTAAGACTAATTTAGAAAAATGCCTCCGTTGGATCAAAGCATGCGGGCGCCCACACGACCAGCTGAACGTCCAGCGTATAAATAAACACAAAGCAGTATGCTCAAAGGTAAGGCTGTTGATATTTTCATGTTCTCTGTGTAGTGAGTATTAAATTTTATGATAACATCAGGCAAGGACGAGGTAAAACGATATTTATGATGTATAACATATCATCCTGCATTTTCGTGCAAATTCGGGTGACATGAACTGGGGATTGCTTTGGGTTTATTTTATGGTGAAAGCGAGGCGAAAATGATGACTTTTAAAAAAAAAGATAGATGACTACATACAGAGTATGATCAGGTCCAGCACAATACCTTGATAAAAGTAAATAGCTTGAAAAAGCTATATAGCTATATCAAGGTATTTAAAATACCTTGATCAAGGTATATTTTATGTATTGAAAATCAAAAAAAAATTCTTTTAAAATTTGATACTGAGAGTCGAGTTCTGAGTTGTTGTCAGTGTATCCACAGTGGTGCATGAAAAGCACTCTGGTATCAAAAAGAAAGCATAAAATAATGTCTCCTTACTCGACATGCTTTTATACTGATTTCTTTGTGTTTGAGTACTTTACCTGCATGGATGAATTTACTGACAACAACTCAGAACTTGACTTTCAGTATTAATTTTTGAAAGAATTTTTTTAAATTTTCATTAAATAAAATACCTTGATCAAGGTATTTGTAATACCTTGATTAAGCTATATATATAGCTTTACCTTGGTAAAGCTATATAGCTTTATCAAGCTATATACCTCTATCAGGGTATCAGGGGATGACAAATCCCATTGCCCGACGCCCGGGGCTAGTGAATTTTAGGGGTGGGCAAGTGAAATTTTATCAACCACTTGCCCGTGGGCAAGTGACATATCAAAAAAAAAGAATTTAATTGTATTCCATAAATTTTAAGCTGGACGTAGGGGCTTGCATGATTTACTAAGCATTTGTCTTCCTCTTTTTGAAATATCTATAAATACAGAATTAGTTCATGGTAGGGCAAGCAAAAATTCAGGTAGGGCAAGTCAATTTTGACCATGTACTTGCCCTTGGAAAAGTGCCTTAAAAATCTATTTGTCAGCCCCTGGGTATTGTGCTGGACCTGATGATTCAGATTAGGGTTGATCATGCCGTTTTTATTTCTTAGATATCGTAATATTCAATACGACAGCAGATAATTCCTATTTACTTATACCATATATATTCAAACTAAATTTAATTATACCCTTGAAATCATTTACAGCATTTTGTTGGAGGTGATGGACCAACTGAGCAGTTTCCAGATCCTATACCAGCTGATGGCTCAGTTCTACGACCAACAAGACCACCTCTTAAACGGACTTCTTCTGAAAATCAAACAGTGTCGACAAAAAAGAGAATTCTAAGGTAGATTACCATGTAAAGTGTATGCACACGGATCTTGGAGATTTTTTTGTTTTTTGTTTTTTATAAACTGGTAATTGGTTTAAGTTAAAATTGCTTTGTTTATTTCAGTAAGGTGGATGGAGAAGGCAGTGTGAATACAATTCCAACTGAGGATGAAGCTCCAAACAAAAAAAACAATGGCAGCAACATAGCTGTACAAACAGAAGAACCTTGTAAGCAAATGGTTTCTTACTTTAATTCAGTCTTGTACGTTTTGATTAACAAGAAATGGTTTTGCATAAGTTTTAAAGAAAATACACAATTTTTCAAGCATAGTAGACATGAATGGGAGGTCAGGCTGTATTCTTTCTACAAAGATATCCTTTTGTGTAAAAACAACAAAGTCACAAAATCGACAACCTGTGATCAGGAGTTGACCCTGAACTTGTGCGTAGTATGCATGGGTGTTTTTCAGTGTTATTATGTCATTGTTCTTGGCCAAACAAAAATCTCTAACATTGTCACATGCTTCTGTAATTGTCATGTTCCTAGCAGAGTAAGGGCACTTGATTTCTAAGAGGCCACAATGGCCATTGTCACAAACTTTACCGTCTGGACTTGCCCCTAAAAAAGCAAACTCTTTGTTTACGACAAGGCCACATGCATGAATATGTCTAGAGGGGTATTCCTTCAAGTATCTAGATTTGGCATCTTTTTCATGATTTTTCCCATAATCTAAAGAGGGGGCTGAAATCTTTTTTAAACTGAATAAGTTTTTTAAAAATTTGTCATTAGGTGTTGATTTTCTTTGTAAGATTTTGCCAAAATTAGAAGCAGTTAGTCTCTTTTTTCGTTCATTATACCACAGTTCAGACTCGCTTTGCTCACGAGTGTTGATTTCAATCTCAATAGGTTTACATTCCTTGTAATCTTCATTTAAATCAATAAACTGGATTGGCAAAGGGATAGGGGTTTGCTGGAACACATCTGTATCACCACAACCATCTGATTTTGTGGGCTCAACTTCCTTAATATTTTTTGTCTGAAAAATATTTCACAGCTTAAGCAATTTAAGTACAAATTTATTGATTTCTTTTCTAGGGGTTTCTGGGATGGATATGTTTGCAATGGCTACAAAACTACACGTGTTAAAAGAAAAAGAGAAGCAGTATAAAGAGACCATCAGCAAACTGGAAACAGAAATAAAAGAGCTTAAAGATCAACAGAAATCTGAAAATCAGAAGCCAACATTTGGAGTTGATGAAGTACTCAGAAGACAGGAAAAGTTAAAAAATGTATTCAAATATTACACTGGGATCACCTATATTAGATTTGCAGGTCTTCTGGCATTTTTGGTACCTGCTGGATCCTCGATAAATTATGAAAAGGGTCGAAAAGACATCAGGAAATTGTCAATGCAAGATGGACTGTTTTTAACTTTATGTAGATTGAGACATAATTTTGGTCTAAAAGATCTATCAGTAAGGTTTAAACTATCACTACAGTCATCAGGAATTGTATTCAATACTTGGATTTCACATATGTACTTTAAGTTGGGGCAACTTTGTATTTGGCCACATCGTGATATTATTATTAATAACATGCCAAAAGATTTTAAACATGATTACCCCACAACTTTGATTATAATTGAAGAAACTGAATTTAGAACACAAGCACCATGTGCACTTGGTTTGCAAAGTCAACTTTACAGTGATTATAAATCAAGCACTACTTTAAAGGCATTAATTGGTTGTGATCCAAATGGTTCTGTGATTTTTGCATCTGAATTGTTTACAGGATGTATTTCAGATAAACAAATTTGTGAACAGTCTGGGTTTTATGATGTTCTTGAAACACTGCAGTCAAAGGGTTATGTTAAAGAAGGCGATGCTATAATGGCTGATAAAGGTTTTACTATTAAGGAAGAATTAAGTAAACTTAATTTGCTGCTGAACATTCCGCCAATGGCTTCATCAACATCTCAAATGTCGGTTTCAGATACTATTCTTACTGAAAAAATTGCAAAACATAGAGTACACATTGAAAGACTTATTGCTAAAGTTAAAACCTACAAGATACTATCTGTGCGCATCCCAACATCATTGTTTAAAAATATTAACAAAATCTGGTCTGTATGTTGTCATTTGACACTTTTTCATGATGTGTTTGTAACAGACAGTAAACATAGTAAATAGTCTACTTTATTCTGAGTTAGACATGTCAGTTGTAGTGACACATATCATTGACTTTGACATTCAGCATTGTGATGTGGATAATTTATATACTGTATTTTTCAATTATTAGCAAAATGAAATTTTCCAAACTGCATTTATATCTTACTTAATATTAACTGTGGTTATTGTATACATGTACCTGATATGACAATATTGAGCCTATCTGCACATCACCAAGGGGGGTGTTTACTAATGAGTGATCTGCAGACACAGTATATTCCAGAGGGGTTCCTTTTAATGAACTCAACTGCAGTATGTCATTTTTGGACACTTTGGGTAGACTGATATGAAATAAATGGTGTATGAATTAATATTTTTTCAAGTTGTGATTTTTTTGTTAATATTATTATTATGACTGATCAATTTAAAAAAACTGAACTTATATTTATAGGAAATTGTAGCCATGAAGAATACTGTATTATTAAATGAAATGGTTTTATTTCCAAAAGAAAAAAGTTTCTTTTTCTTTTCACCATACTCTTGATTTAAGTCTAGCTGGCATGTCACAGGTTTCCTTTTTCTTGATTCAGTTGGTCTTGCTACCACAACATGATTAATAGGGACAGGTTTGATTTTTGACCCCCTGGGCACATGCCACTGCTGTGGGATGCTTGTACAACTTTGTTGTTCAGGAACATTTGAGAAATTATGGAGCTTGAACCCCTGCAGACTCTTTATTAGGCCAACTACATGGGAACAGTGACCATTTAAACTGCAAGGAAAATTTTAAAGCTGAATTTCAAATAGCAAAGTGGGAGAGAATGGTACATTTTTAAGCTTCGTGAAACCAATTGTCAGCATGTCTGACAATTTTTAAAAAGTATTTCCAATCAGGCTCATAACGTAACCAATTAAATTATCAAATTGACAAAAATAAATATTGCCAACTTCAAAGGAATTTGGATAGGCTTAGAAAATAAAGAACTTGGTCTATATAATACTTATTGTGTATTTTGACTGAATATATTCATTTTATATCAATTAATATAAATCCTGAACCATGCAGTTGATTATTTATCTCGTCAACACATCTGTAAAAATTAATTGGTCACCAATGTTTACATTCCGATGGGCCTTAGCCTGACGTAACCCTGATAAATAACAAGTTTTTCTAGGAAAATATTGGGGGGATGTATACACATACCCAACTTTACAAGAGCATTGAGACTCGGTTATCTCATTTACTTTAATTTCCACACTAAATTAGTGCGCCGATTGATTTATTTCGCATCGACCTCCGGCATCTTGCAGCAACTTGTACGAATTCATTCAAACTGAATATCTTTATATTGTGGATATTTCCTTGGGTAAAGTAATTCAAACCCTTCTGTAAGTCTTGATCTGATAACTTTTGGGTAGATACTTCACAAAGAAATCGTCAGGAATCGACTTTAAACTGTCGGTCGCCATCGAGGATGATGCAGCCGGCATCGCCATAATTTGGAACTTAGTAACAGTAGCTAAAGTGGGCGGAGCTTCGGACGACAAGTCGGAACTAGTGCTAATTGTAACAGGGACCGTTACAGATGTTCCCCAAACGCTCCCCAACCCCCTTTTGGTGCCATATTCCCTGGGAGCTTCATAAAATAAGACAAACTCGATGCCTTTGAAACTTTAACAACGTTTATTAAGAAGTGTAGAAAGTTCATTTAAATTTTAGCATTGCACGCGTGCGCATGTGAATGCATGTGCGTAATGACCATATCATCTTGTCTACACAATCTATATATTTTAATATACTAAACATTAAAGTATTTAATCCAAAAGTTTTAAAAAGTTAGCTCATTCAAGTGTTTTTTATTTTGCTCATTTCACGTGCGCGTACGTGCTCGCACGTGCATGCATGAGCATAATGACCATACCTTCTTGTAGATGTCCGTTACATCTATCTTTGTTCTAAATCCCATCCCGTTTGGTTGAAAACCAAGGGAGTTATAGTTGTTTAAAGTTTCAACCAATCAGATTGCAGCGCAAGTACATGCACGTGTATGTATGTGCATGGTGACCATATTTTTTTGTTGTAGTCAAATATATCTATCTATGTTCCAAATCTCATCCTGTTTGGTTGAAAATTAAGGGAGTTATAGTTATTTAAAGTTTAAGCCAATCAGATTGCAGCGCACGTGCATGCACGTGTTTTCATGATAATTGCTATATATCATGTTGTAGGATATCCTAATGCATGGCTATTTTCAAAATTTCTAAGGATTTCATCAAAAAACAAGAAAGATATTGAGACTTTAGTTTCAGCCAATCAGAGCAAAATGCACGTGCATGCACGTGAGATCTTGCTATTTTGACCATGTCATATTGTCTATGCTACTAATATATCCTTATATTATAAGTTTCAAAGCATTTCATCAAAAATTTAAAAAGTTACGCCTATATCAATTAAATCGGCCATTTCACATGTTGCACGTGCACGCTCTTGCAAGCACGTGCGCGCAAAATGACCTTCATTCCGCAAATCTACATAACATGTCTACTGACCCTAAAAAAATTTCACCTTGGTCGGATGTATAGTTTGCGAGATCATTCCCGGACAAAAAAGTACCCAGGAAGAAGAAGAAGAAGAAAAATAATAATAACTAGTGCTAATTGTAACGGGGACCGTTACAGATGTTCCCCAAACGCTCCCCAACTCCCTTTTGGTGCCATATTCCCTATAAGCTTCATTAAATAAGACAAACTCTACGCATTTGAGACTTTAACAACGTTTACCCAGAAGTGTACCAATTTCATTCAAATTTTAGCATTGCACGCGTGCGCATGTGAATGCATGTGCGTAATGACCATACAATCTTGTCTTTACAATCTATAGATTTTAATATACTAAATATCAAAGTATTTAATCCAAACGTATTAAAAAATACGCTAATTCAAGTGTATTTTTGATTTTACTCATTTCACGTGCACGCACGTGCTCACATGAGCATGGCGACCATACTTTCTTGTAGAAGCCCATTACATCTATCTATGTTCTAAATCCCACCCCGTTTGGTTGAAAACCAAGGGAGTTATAGATGTTCAAAGTTTCAGCCAATCAGATTGCAGCGCACGTACATGCACGTGTATGCATGTGCATGGTGACCATGTCTTCTTGTAGAAGTCCATTATATCTATCTATGTTCCAAATCCCATCCTGTTTGGTTGAAAACCAAGGGAGTTATAGCTATTTAAAGCATAAGCCAATCAGATTGCAGTGCACGTGCATGCACGCGTTTTCAAAATGATTGCTATATATCTTATTGTAGGATATCCTAATGCATGTCTATATTTAAAATTTCAAAGGATTTCGTCAAAAAACAAGAAAGATATTGAGACTTTAGTTTCAGCCAATCAGAGCAAAGCGCATGTGCATGCGCGTGAGATCTTGCTTTTTTGACCATGTCATCTTGTCTATGCTTCTAATATATACTTCTAATATGAGTTTTAAAGCATATCATCAATAATTTAAATAGTCACGTCTGTATCAATTATATTGGACATTTCTCGTGTTGCACGTGCGAGCTCTTGCAAGCACACGTGCATGCACATGCTTTCATGATATTTCTTTTATTACGGGCTGTAGATCTCCCTAATGTATGACTATGTTCAAAATTTCAAATGATTTTATCAAAAAACAAGAAAGATATTGACACTTTAGTTTCAGCCAATCAGAGCGAAGCGCACGTGCTTGCACGTGCGATCTTGCTATTTTGACCATGTCATCTTGTGCATACTACTCATATATCCTTACATTATGAGTTTCAAAACATTTCGTCTAAAAATAGAAAAGTTACGGTTATATCCATTATATATTGGTCATTTCAAGTTTTGCACGTGCGCGCTCTTGCAAGCACGTGCGCGCAAAATGACCTTGATTCCGCAAATCTACATAACATGCCTACTTACCCTAAAAAGGTTTCCCCTTAATCGGATGTGTACTTTACAAGATCATTCGCGGACAAAATTTTCCCGAGAAGAAAAATAATAATAATAATAATAATAAGAAACAGAGTAAAAACAATATGTTCCCCAACTTCGTTTGGGGAACATAATAAGAAACAGAGTAAAAACAATATGTTCCCCAACTTCGTTTGGGGAACATAACTATGAATTGTGCTTGATCATGAATAGCTAGCTTTATAATTACCAATGTTGCTTTTGCATGTTTTGCTTGAAATTGGATTGATGATTCTTGAGAAGTAGAAAATGTAAAAAAAAAAAAAATTAAAGATGGATAAGCAGACCAATGGAACAAGGATTCTTGCATGATTCACAAAGCTGAAAAGTTAGCTGACCAGGTGAGCTAAAAAGACATAACTTTGTTTTCAACAGATTGATACAAGATCAGACAGGTAATCAATGAGAGAGCATTTGTTTTCGCATAAGCGTTGCAACTCTCCCAGTTTCTGTCATCAATCCAATTAAAAAAAAATATTTTATACAGTTTCAGGATATATGTAAGCATTTTCTGTAATTAGTGAAACCATGCATTAACAATTAACTCGTACCAGAATTTTTTTTACCTAAAATCCAAGTGACAATGTTAAACAACTTAGCAATTTCTAAAACTCATTTCTTTAAATAATAAGTGGATCAAATCACTTACTTGGGGTTAGGGTTGAATTAATTAACAATTAAAACCTATACGAAATATATTATACTCGAGTTGTCAATAATCCGATAACCCCATCACGTTGCATCATAACATCATTTGTAAAATTATTTAAAAATGGACTTGTACGGAGATGATACTGAACCTGTAGACGGTGGTGAAGATTTATTCAAACCAGAATATAAAAGATACAAGAGAAAGGACAGGAAACTCGATCTGAGTGACGTCATTGACTTGACGAAGCAGACAAATATGGACAAGGTATCCATAATCCTTCTGATGCAATGCTAATAAATTAGGCCCTATCAGCAAAAAACATCCAGATTTACACTTGACAGTGCCAATGACCCGTGTGAATAAAAAAGAATTACAAAGTTTGACGTATAAACATATTTCAGAAAATATATGCATTAATAAATATTTCAAGAGAGATTCTTATTTTCTGACTTTCACATTTACAAAGGTGATTTCCCTTTGTGTGTGGGTCAATCCAAATCGGTGTAACCCAGTTTTCTCTCTGTTATACAGATCTTTACCTAAGAACTGAAATAGCTGGGGATAATAAAAAAGCAGGGATCTGGGGTTCCTCATGAAATTAAGGGTTGAGGGGAAATAACAAATTACATTATAGGCAGGAAAATAAATTGGATGCATTCTTGGTTCTTACTGCCTTGGTGTCAAAAGAGTTAAAGACAAAAATCAATTGAAATCAATTTGGATCCATATTCATAAGGCAAATTAAGAAAATTATGTGATTATGATTATCTGGCTCTTGATATTTATTTCCCCAACAACACTAA